TTTTCATGTTTGAAAAGACATCATGAACTTCTTCATTATACAATAGATTCTTATTATCATAATCTTGGCAAGCTGTTCTGGTTAAGATAGACATGGAAAATGATAATATCGAGCTTATTTTTCTTGACCATTTTTCTCAGCGCCAGGGAAGCTTGTGATGTGAACCTAATAATCGAGAGCTAACTCGTAGCATAACGCGTGTGTCAAAATGAGAAGAAGTTTCCAGGGTGGCTAGACCTATCCTAGAATCCTGTCAGATGCGTTAGGATTTCTTCGACAAGATAGCTTCTGATAGTATGATGTCATAAGTTGAAGATTTCTGCTTATCAGATACCGATAAAAGTTTTCATGGTGTATCCGGCAATATCTGATCCTTCAAAATTACTGGGTTGATTACAGATCCCGTGGTATGTTGCTAGATTACCTGAGGGCAGGCAGAATTCTCACAAGCAGAATTTAAGAATTCTGCTTTACGCATACCTACTTATAGATATTTAAAAGAACTCTGCTTAGAATTCTGTTTTTTTCCAGCAGAATTCAACCAGAATTCTGAATCACTATTAGAATTTTGTATACCTACTTTAAAATATTGAACAGAATTCTGCTTAGAATTTTGTTTTTGCAGCAGAATTGAAACAGAATTCTGAATTACTAACAGAACTTTATATGACTCTATACACTTATCCTTGGATCTAAATCAAAATTCTGCCTAGAATTCTGTTTTTCCAGCAGAATTAAACCAGAGTTCTGATTTCCTAGCAGAATTGTGCTTCACGATATACCCTTACCCCTAGACACTAAACAGAATTCTATTTTTCCAGCAGAAATCAATCAGAATTCTGAATCACTAACAGAATTTTGTATAACCCTATACACTTATCCTTGCATTTAAATCAAAATTCTGCTTAGAATTCTGTTTTTCCAGCAGAATTTAACCAGAATTCAGAATCACTAACAGAATTTTGTAAAACCCTACACACTTATCCTTCGATCTAAATCAAAATTCTGCTTAGAATTTTCTTTTTCCAGCAGAACTCAATCAGAATTTTCAATTACTAACAGAATTTTGTATGACTTTATACACTTATCCTGGTACCTAAATCAAAATTCTGCTTAGAATTTTGTTTCTCCAGCAGAATCTAACCAGAATTCTAGTTCCCTAGCAGAATTGTGCTTCCAGACATATCCTTACCTCTAGACACTAAACAAAATTCTGCTGAGCATTCTGTTTTTCCAGCAGAATTCAATCAGAATTCTAAATTACTAACAGAATATTTTGCAATCATACACACTTGTCCTTGCATCTAAATCAAAATTCTGCTTTGAATTTTGTTTTTCCTGCAGAATTTAACCAGAATTCTGATTTCCTAGCAGAATTGTTAAGAAGTCACTCGAAAATATGATTTCTTGACAAACTTTCGATGCATTCTATGCATCTAATTTTACATTTGAATGAAAAATAAAAAAGACATGGTAATAGAACCAACAATGATCAATGTTTAAAAATCAAAAAAACAAAACAAAACTTCATCAAAGAATCAAAAAAAATCAATGCATGTTTCTTCTTCGTAAATTTTCATAACTGAAGCAAACAACAAAACAACAAGAGGGTAAGTTGAAATGGAAAAAAACAAACTGTAATAGAACCAACAATGATGAATCATTAAAAATTAAAAAACAAAACAAAACTTCACAAAGAATTAAAAAAACAATCAATGCATGTTTTTTCTTCATAAATCTTCATAAATGAAGCAAACAATATAACAACAAGAAAGTAAGTGGAAATAGAAAAAAAACAAACGTTAATAGAACCAACAATGATGAATCCTTAAAAATTAAAAAACAAAACAAAACTTCACCAGAGAATCAAAAAAAATCAATGCATGTTTTTTCCTTTCTATTAGCATGTGTTTTTTTTCTATTTCAACTGACTTTCTTCTTGTTATGTTGTTTGCTTTATTTATGAACATTTATCAAGAAAAAACATACATTGATGTTCGTTTTTGACTCTTTGGTGAAGTTTTGTTTGTTAAATTTTAAAGATTCATCATTGTTCGTTATATTATCGCTTGTTTCTTTTTCTATTTCAACTTACTTTCTTGTTGTTATGTTGTTTGCTTCATTCATGAACATTTTTGCAGAGAAAACATGCATTGATTGTTTTTTTTGTTTCTTTTATGCCATTTGTGTTTTTTTGTATGTCAACTTACTTTCTTGTTCTTATGCTGTTTGCTTTATTGAAAAAAAAAATGCACTGATTTTGTGGATTCTTTGACGAAGTTTTGTTTTGTTTTTTAATTTGTAAATATTCATCATTGTTGGTTCTACTACCATGTCTTTTTTTATTTTTGATTGAAATGTAAAATCAGATGCATAGAATGAATCGAAACGTCGTAAAGAAATCATATTTTCCAGTGGATTCTTAGTAATTCTGGTAGGAAATCAGAATTCTGATTAAATTCTGCAGGAAAAACAAAATTCTAAGGAGAATTTTGATTTACATGATGGGATAAGTAGATAGAGTCATGCAAAATTCTGTTAGTAATTCAACATTCTCATTGAATTCTGCTGGAAAAACAGAATTCTAAGGAGAACTCTGTTTAGTATCTAGAGGTAAGGGCACAG